TGGATGAGGACGAGACGGCGGAGAGCCGGCGCTGGGGCGCACAGCATGCCGGTGCCCGTGAGCTGGCGGCGCTCTACTCACCAGGTAGGACGGGCGGCGGGCCTGCGGACTGATGGGTGCTCGGCGCGGGGCCCGCCCTGACCGAGCCCCAGGCAGTCCGAACGCCCGGACCCCAACCCATCGGATCCGAACTCCAGCCTATTCGAAGCCTCGGATTCGAACCCAAACCCATTTGGAGCCCACGGACCAGAACTTCAGCCTATTCGAACCTCACCCTGACCTGAACCCCAACCCATCCGAACCCCCCCCCCGATCCGAACTCCTGCCCATCCGAATTCCCGACATCCGAACTCCACCCAGATACGAACTTCAGCCCATTTGGATGCCCTTGGATCCGAACCCCACGCCATCCGAACCCTGCCCCCATCCCAACCCCACCTTCCAGCTTCAAAGCGGAACTCCAGGGCTTCCAACTTGCAGAAAGCACCCTCAGGTCTAAGGACCCCACCCAGACCCCTTCCTTGCCCAGAATCGTGAGTCATTGGGGCTGCAGAGACACCCCTAGAACGAGAAATAGCCTCATTGCACCTGCACATCCAGAGTCCTAGCCCCAGGGCACCTTGGGCAGCTTAGGAACCCCACCCTGGCCTGCCTTGTGCCGCCGGGACCCTTTCCAGGGCTTCCTGTTCTCAGGTAGCCAAGCCTCACACAGCTCCTCAACCACAAGTTCTGCCCCCACCCTCCGACGTTGGGTCTCTGAAACCTGTGCTTAAAGCTAGGCCCCTGGATTGCAAACTGACCCACCCCTCAATGTGGGACTCTTAGCCCTCTGTTTGCTCTTCCCCCAGCCCCTGTCATGGTCCCTGCTATAGTAGTAGCTGCAGTGAGTGAACTTATCTCCTCCCACTCCCAGTGAGACAGTCAGCCCTCACCTCTTACTGGGAGATTCTGGGCAGCGACTCAGACCCTGTTGAGTTCCCGTCTGGCGCTGTCCTCTCCCACAGCCACACACTAGCCTCTCAGGACTTTGTGGGATACCCCTGTTCCCTAGCCCTTGCCAGAACCCCTTGCCCTGGCTCTACCCTAACAAGCTCTGGCTCCAGCTCCCAGGGAGCCTCAGGAATTTCACCGGCTGGCCCGGTGTCCCCAGAGGTTGAGGAAATGCCTGTGCACTCCAGAGTCAGATGACAGCCTGAGGCCCCTCTGCCAGGGTGTCTGCATGAGTAGGCTTTGTTGTCCGACATTCTGCCCTCTCTCCTTTGCGGGAGCAGCTACAGGACACAGCCCTGACCTGGGTGGGGCGGAGGCCACTACTCCCATGGCTTCCTGCCCTGGCGGGCATGGGTTTGGTGCTTTTTCAGCTATAAATGGTGTGTGACGTGGGGATATTTGCTTTTCCTCTTTGGGGCTCCTACGTCTCTAAGGACTGTCCCAGCCTTGGGTTTCCAGTCTGTGTGTATGGTTTTCTAGCTTTTCTTGGATGTTTGGTCTGTTCCACTGGGTGCTTGGCCCACACCCAAACAGCCAGCCTCCGGACCTACTCTCCTTGAAGGAGACTGGTGGTGGCATTCATATTGGTTATTTGCATGGCCTGAGCCAAGCCTCTTCCTTCCCCAACCTTGGTTTCCTTCCTTCTCCCACAGGCACAGGTGAAATTTCTCTTCCTGTGTCTCTACGATCACCCACTGTAATGATACCCACTGCGTGGCATTAAGCCTTGTGTACAATAGGCGGTCCCTGTAATTCACCTGGCCCTCTGCCCTTCTCTGAGCTCAGAACGAGCCTTATCTTGCTGGTCCTCAGGCCTCTGGCCTAGGACCTTAAGAATGGATAGTAGAGATTGGTAGTGCCCAGGGCGGGACTGTCCCCACAGCCTACTTTCTACTGGCCCTGATTGTTCCCTCTTACTTTCCCTGGGAGCCACCTCTCACCCTTCCTTCTTGACTCTGCGTCAGGACCTGGCCACTGGTCTTAGAAAAATAGCTAAACAGAGGCCCTGGGGGCCTCAAACCCTCAGTCAAGGCTTTCTCCCCTGACCTGTAGAGAGGGAAAGACTGGTCAAACTGGTTCCTCCAAGTTCCTGTCAGTAGGTCTCCCTCTGTCTCTCTCTGTCCACCGAGCCCTGTGTGTGGCCTTGGAGGGGTACCTTGACCCCTCCAGACCTGTAAAATTAGAGAACAGACTTGATGTATATTGAGCACCAATTGATATATTTATTTCAGTCCCTGTTCTCAGCCCTGAAGGCACAGCAGCAGACAAGACTTGAGCTGGCCTTTTGGTTGGGGAGACAGGTATCAAGCCCCCACGAAAGGGAGACAGAAGCAGCAGGGAAAATGTGTTATGTTTTGTTTTTAAGATTTATTTATTATGTATACAGTATTCTGTCTGCATGTATGCCTGCAGGCCAGAAGAGGGCACTAGATCTCATAATGGATGGTTGTGAACCACCATGTGGTTGCTGGGAATTGAACTCAGGACCTCTGGAAGAGCAGCCGGTGCTCTTCGCCTCTGAGCCATCTCTCCAGCCCCGGCAGGGAATGTTAAGGAGAGAGGTGGCATGTAAAAGTCTGTATCTGGCTTCACTGGAAGGGCAGCATTTGAACAGCTGAAGGGTGGAAGGGCAGGAGGGAAGGGACCTTGAGAGTTTGTGGGGTCCAGAGAACAAGTGCAAACACCCTGAGGTGGGAGTGTGCCTAGCACAGCCGAGGAGCCCAGGTAACCTGTGGACTGGAACAGAATGAGAAGTCCCTGAGTTCTCGAGATTCCTGGGGCCGAAGGTGGTTTGTCGTCATCGGGATGGCATTTATTGAAGACTGACTTGTGCAGGCGTTCCCCCAGTACTTTCATGTCTTGAACACCAGTCCTATTTGCAGTTAGGCTGCTGCCACTGTAGTATGAAGGCTAGCAAGGGTACGCTGTACATCTTTGGTGTCTGGCTTTTAGGGAACCCATGGCACCCCAGGACCACCTTGTCCATGTCTGTGGAGGGGTTGCCCTTCCTACTCCCGTGTGGGTTACCATGTACCAGGACAGAGATGAAGTGGGTGTATTTCCTGTTTGTTTCCTGGCTGTCACCTTGGCTGTAGAAGTTAGCCAGAAGTTCCAGGACAGCAATAGACCATGTTTGTGGTGTTGGTGGCAAACACCTGGCCTAGCCAGGCATTGGTGGCATGTGCCTTTAATCCCAGTACTCAGGAGGCAGAGGCAGGTGGATCCCTGTGAGTTTGAGACCAGCCTGGTCTACAAAGCAAGTTCCAGGACAGGCTCCAAAGCAATACAGAGAAACTGTGTCTCGAAAAACCAAAAAACAAAACAAAACAAAAAAACCTCACCTGTCCTAGTGTGTGTGGGGAGTTCTGAGCAATGTGACCGGGTAAACAGGATAGAAGAGGGTGGTCCGGAGTGAGGCAACAGTGACCACAGTGCCTGAGGGCTCAGGCATGGGGCTTAATTCTGAGCCACTTTGCAGCCATGGGAAGTCTTGGGCAGTACTCCACTCTGGGTTTGGAGCCAGAAGCCAGAGGCTGAGAGCTGCCCAGAGCACTTGGTGGATCTCCCTCCTACTTACTTGGCCAAGATGGCAGCTCTTGGAGGTGCAGGCTGCAACCTGCCATGAGTGCCACTTCACAGGTGCCCAGCTGCAAGGATGACAGAGCCCGAAGGGTGCTGGATCCAGCCATCCACCAGCTTGGACAGCTGAGAGTGGCCTGGCCTGTAGGCCTGAAGTTGGACCCAGCTTCATTCCAAAATGGGCCTGCCTGAAGCCATAGCGCCAGGGCCTGGGGCCCCTGTGTGATGCCGCTGGCCAGGCACTGAGCTAATTCTGTCCCCACTCAGTCTGGCTTTCTTCCTGGTCTTTCTCCCTCTGGGTCTTACTTTGTATGTCCCTGGTTTCTGCTTTCTCATCCTATTTGTCCCGTGTCTGGTCCTGTCTCTGTGTCCCTTTTGTCTGCTTTCTGTGGTACACAGGAGAGGCCAGCCGCAGCGTAGGTTATTTGGGGCAAGAAGAGGCAGGGGCACTAAGCTGGCCCTGTGAAGTAGGTGGGCCTTCCTCCTCTCCCAGGCCCCATCCCCAGCGTATGTAGGCACCTGGGCCAGTGGGCCAGCAGCCACTGTTGTACCTTGGCCCTGATTATCTGCTCCGATCATTCTAGGCCAAGAACAGGCTTTCAGGTGGAGGCCGGGGCACCTGAGTCCAGAGTAAGCCCCGCCCTGCCCCCTCCCCCCCCCCAGGATCCACTGCTTCCAGAGCAAGGCCTGCCGGGTTGATGCCTAAGCCATGACTTTAGACAATTATTTGGTCTCCCTGGCACTGGGAGGACTGTCCTGGCTCTCACAGGGGTGGCATGAGGTGCCAGCAGCTTGTTAATGTGTTATGCATGTTTTTGTAGATCAGAACTGAGATCCATCTGCAGCCAGACCCAGGCCCAAAGTGAGATAAGTTTAAAGGGAAATACTCAGATTTCAGGGCCATTCTGTCCAACAAGGTGAGAACTGGGCTCTCAGGAACCGGGACAGCCCAGACCTAACAAGTTTCCAGGCAAAGACCCATGCCCAACTTTGTACCTCAGTTTCCTTGGCACAGTGTCACTTAGGGTTCCAAAACTCATGACCACAGAGGCTAGCCAGACAGCCCTGAAAGCAGCTGGGGACCTGGAGCCCATGACCTGGAGTGGCAGCCCTATGTCTCAGGGCTGACAAGAACTAGGATGTGTGTGGTTTTAAGTTTATATCACACTTTTAAAAAATAAGAGGAAACCTGCCCAGAGGATCCTGTTTGCAGCCATTGTCATCGTTATTGTTCCCATCAGTGGGCACCAGCCATTGTCATTATTATCGTCATTGTTTTAATTCATTGTTTTACTCTAATCCTTGGCTATGACACTGCCCATCTTTTCAGTCCCTATAGGTAACCAAGCAGGTTGGCAGGGAGAGTCAGTCACCTGTCCCTTGTCTCCTCCTGTGTCACGTTCCCCCACCCCTGGGCTTCCTGCTTCTCAGCCCTGGGCTCTACCCACAAGCAGAAACCGGAAGAGACAGGCAGGCCATGACTCTAAGCGGGCCGCAGAAATAGCACAGTTGAGAAGGACTAGAAGCCCCAGCTCCTGTGACCTCTGGGGGCTTTGCTTTTCCTTGGCCTTGGTGTCCTCTTCTGTATATAGGCAAAGGGCATGTGACCCTTGAGGACCCCTCCCCCAATGTCAGCCTTTTCTGGGGACAGCTGCTTTAGCTCTGGCTTTAGCAGTTGGGAGCGGCTGACTGCTGTGTGGACACAGATGGAGCCTAATCTTTGTGTCCAACATAAGTGCTAAGTGTTGGACTTGGAAATGTGATCTGTGGTTTGGGATTAGACTTTGCTCATTCCACAAGCAGGCCTGACTTGGGCCTTCATTAACCCCATATATGTAGGAGCCTTCATCCGATCAGGACAGCAGTGTGGTAGGGATTCGGGAAGAACACTGGGCATCAGAAACAAGGCAGGGGGTGGATGAAAGGAGACCACAGCACCCCTCCAGCTGGCAGGCTCAGTTGCCTTGGGCTGCCTCCTTGACTTCTCTGACCCTCCATCTTTTTGTTCACACCTCTGCATCTGAGCAGGTTCTTGGCACCCAGCAATTGCTGTGTTGATTCTGAGCACTGACAGTAATCACATTATCAGCATAACGGTCTCCAGCCTCTGGGGCCAGCTGCCTGGGAAACAGACATAAGGCTTGCCATTCATATGGTGTTTTTGTTTCTTTCTTTTTGTTTTTCAAGACAGGGTTTCTCTGTGTGTAGCCTTGGCTGTCCTGGAACTGGACAGCCTGATCTGTAGATCAGGCTGGCCTCAAACTCACAGCGATCCACCTGCCTCTGCCTCCCTAGTGCTAGGATTAAAGGTGTGCGCCACCACTGCCTTTTTTTTTTTTTCCAATTTAAAAATTAGTTGTCAAAAGAAAATAACTTAGTAGTACACAAAAAGGCAGTATCAGATGGTCTAGAGGCTTTCTTCTTTACATTTTTTCTGTTAGTTAGTGTGTATTAGTACCTGTACCACAGTATGTGTTGTGAAAGTCAGAGGACAACTTGTGGGAATTGGTTCTCTCCTTTCATTATTTGGGTCCCAGAGATTGAACTGAAGTTGTCAGGTTTGGCCACAAGCGCCTTTACCCACTGAGCCATCTTGCTGGCCCTTTATGTTTTCATGTGTTGCCAAACATAAGCCTAGGGCCTCAGACATCCTAGTGTTTGGCTCCTGAGCGATGCTCCCATCCTTTGTGTTTTCTTCTCTTTTAAAAGCTTTTACACGGGGCTGGAGAGATGGTGCAGAGGTTAACAACACTAGCTGTTCTTCCAGGGGTCCTGAGTTCAATTCCCAGCGCCCACACAATAAATAAATAAATCTTTGAAAAAAAAAAAAAAACTTGCTAGGTGGTGGTGGCACACACCTTTAGTCCCAGCACTCGGGAGGCAGAAGCAGGTTCATCTCTGTGAGTTCGAGACCAGCCTGGTCTACAGAGTGAGTTCCAGGACAACCTCCAAGCTACAGCGAAACCCTGCCTTGAAAAAAAATGAAAACAAAAAAACAAAAACAAAAAACCTTTTACACATACTTCCTTCTTTATTGTGTGTGTGTGTGTAGTCCGTGTTGTAGTAGTCAGAGGACAATTTTTAAGAGTCATTTCTCCTGCCATGTAGGCCCCCAGGTCTGATCTCAGGTGATCACACTTAGCGGCAAGCTCCATTTCTGGCTGAGCCATCTCGCCAGTCTCTATTCTTAATTGACCCTGCAGCCCCACATTGCTCTCTCTCTCTGCACCTCCATATGACCTGGGCAACACAGACGCCACCAGTGGGGTGGTTCTGGCTCCTCCCCAGGCCATGGATGCTTGGGTGATATCCAGAGTTTTGACATTTCCACCAAAGGCACAAGGAATGACAAGCTTGTCTAAGCTTGAGAGTCTGTGGAGTATGACTGAATTTAAAGTGCAGTGCTCACCCAAGTCCTTGGGTCTGGTGTCTTCTCGGTCACCTGCTGCAGGACTTCTGAGGTTGGGGGGAGGTCATGTTCCTGCCTGGCATCAGGTGCTAGTCCTGGAACCCTGAAACCTAATGTCCCCAACACCTATTCTCTGACCCAACACCCTATTCTGTGCTGATGGCCTGTGCTGTATTCATGGAGGCTGGGCAGGCAGGCTCCAGGCATCCCTGGGGTGAGGAATCAGAGGCTGACCATGGCCTCTGCCTTCAGATAGTCACTGATCCAGAAACAGATGGTGCCAGGAAACTTCATTTAAAACACAATAGGGTCACTCAAGTTCCTGAAGGAGTCCCCAGAAAGCCTGGTCCTGTCTATTAAGAATATACACTTGCAGGCCCAGCCTCAGGGTCATGCACCCTGGGCCTTAGCGGTCCTGTCTGTGAAATGGGGTGGGTGAGAGTGCTTGGGACAGTACATTCAACACCACTGAGTTCCCCACAGCCGGTGCCTCACTCAGTTCTCCTCTCCCCACAGGTAAGCGCCTCCAGGAGTGGTGCTCCGTGACCCTGTGCTTCAGCCTCATCACCTACAACTTGGTTCACCTCCTGCTGCTAGCCCGCTGGGAGCACACACCCCTCGTCATCCTGGGTGTTGGTGAGTGCCAGGGCCGCCCTGGAGTCTGTTTGCCTTTGTGCAAGTGAGAGTGCGTGCGTGCGCGCGTGCGTGTGTGCACTGTTGAGTGCTCAGGGTGGTCTTGCATCAAGGACAAGCTATGGGAGCGCCCCCCCCCCCCCCCCCCCCCCGTTAGCTCAGAGCATTCAACCCCAGCACCATGCCATCACTGAGATCCTCTCTGCTGCATTCCACCCTCAGCATTCTTCTTTAGAATGCTTCTAGAATTCAGCCACCCCTCCCCCATTCTCGTCTCCCACTGCCCTGGACTGTGTACTGACATGGTGGCCTTTCTATTTGACAGTCCCAATCTCAGCATTCCGTACTTGTCACTGTTCAGTCACACTGGCCACACGATCTCAGAATCCGTCATCATCATCTCTCCCACACCTTAGGACCTTGTACAAGCTGTTCTCTGTGCCTGGGGCCCTTCGCAGGACACCATGTTTGGTTTGGTTTGGTTTGGTTTGGTTTGGTTTGGTTTGGTTTGGTTTTCAAGACAGGGTTTCTCTAACAATCCTGGCTGTCCTGGAACTTGCTTTGTAGACCAGGCTGTCCTGGAACTCTGAGATCCACCTGCCTCTACCTCCCAAGTGCTAGGATTAAAGGCGTGCACCACCACTGCCCAGCTGACACCACACATTTGATCCCCAAGATCTGCTGAGAGGTCACATACTTAGGCCCTCTGAGATGGCCCCTCAAAATCAGCCCTGATTGAATGTGGTGGTACAGGCCTTTAATCTCCATATGTGGGAAGCTGAGGAAGACCTCTGAATCCAGGCCAGCCAGGGTTACATAGTGAGACCCTATCTCAAACAAATTGACGACAAAGCCTGGCCACACACTAACTCCCCTGGCCCTGCTGGGTCTCCCTCAACTCAGAAATCAGACTGTGTTTTCCATTTCATCCACCGCTGCATCCTCAGCCTCAGGCACAAGGGCTGGTACATGGCAGGTGCCCAGAAGAGGGGATGGTGAGCATGGAATGGGGCACTGTGTACTTGGAAGTCCTGGGTGTTCCCCTTGGCCAGGCATAGGGGCTGAGACTCTTCCTCTTGATGAGAAACTGGAGGCTCAGAGCAGGGACCTGCAGAGTGTCTGTTATGTCCTTTGGCTGAAGCATCCATGGCTGTCATGTCCAGCTACATTCCTGGTTCCAGCTGTCTGTGTCCCTCCTTCCCAGCCTTCTGCCCTCTGGCTCAGGTGTGGAGTCTCTTCCTTTGCTGAGCTCTGAGGCAGGCCCAGGGGCCACGGCACCCTTGGTCTTACCGCCCCTCCCTGTGGTTTTGCTTCTACAATCTCATAAGCATTCTGTCTGCCTAAGCCAATAGTGCGCAAGCCTGCTAATCAAGCCACCTCAGTCCAGGACAAAGCTAGTACAGGGCAGAGGTTAGCCTGCTCTGTGCTGGGGAGTCCAGGCCCCACCTGCAGGAGTCCCCTAACCCCTCACAGGAGCCCTTACCCCACAGCTGGGTGGCTCCTCCAGCCTTGGCTGGCCTGTCTGCTGCAGGTGTCATGAACATGGAGGCTATGGCGCTGTGGCATCCTGGGACTGTAGGAAAGCCAGAAGGATTCAACTTTACTGAGAGGGTCGGTGACTGGGAAGAGTGGGGTGGAGAGTAGCTTTGCCTGCTAACCCTCTGACCGAGACTACCTCAGCCCCTGCTCTGTAAGCACCTGCTGGGTACATTCCCTGAGTTGGCCACTTCTCTGGTAGCAATGTTGTACAAAGTATCCCAGCGTTGGTCTCTACACACTGGCCCTCACATAGGCTCTGTAGCTATGTAGCCACACTGGCCAAGGATGGTGGACAACCCTGTAGTGGGCCCAGCTGTGTGCTATCCAGCAGGTTACCACCTCGCTTCCCTGCCTGGGACCTGGGTTTCCACAGCTCCCGCCCATCTTCACAGCCAGTGTGGCCAGCTCTCGAATTGCACCGGCTTCTGGGCTGATAAGAGCGAGTAATCCCCTGATAGTGGTGTTTGCACAATCCTTAATCGATTTAAATAGCCGCCCTGATTTGTCTGTTAACACATGTGTGTGGCCGCCGAGGGCATTGTGCCAGCTTGTTCCTGTCTCTGCAGTGGTTCCCAATGCCCAGGCAGCCCCGGAAATCAGAACACAAACTGAAAGGCTTCCGGTGGGTGAAGCTGGGCTTGTGTGATGCAATGCCTGAGAGCTGATCAAGATAAGGTCGTGGCCACTACACCCTGAGGGAATGAGAAGCGAGAGGAGGCTTGTACGAGGGCCAGGGAGCATGTGCTAGGGCCCTGAGGCTGCGGTCAAAGCCGCCTGGTAGCAGTTTATTGGAGTGGATGGGCAGTGGTACCTTGGGAGCCATGGTCTGGACAATGGGTTTGTTTATCTTGAGTGCTGTGGGGAGTCACTGGTGAATTTCTATGGGGAGATGATGGTGATGGTTTCCTAAACTCAGGAGCCATGCAGTTGCAGTTGAGCTATATGCACAGTCAGGCTGCTGTGGGGTGAGTGCCGGGTCAGATTGATTCCAGGTTCATCCCAAGAGCAGAAATAGATATAGGATAGAGCTCAGGGAATGCGGAGAACTGAGAGGGCGGGGGGGGGGCAGGGAGGGGGGCACCAGCCTAAGGAAGCAGGAGAGGGACCTGGCTCTGAAGGCCACTGGTGACTGAAGAGCAAGCCACTCATTCCCTTGGGGGCTGCAGCACATTGGCTGGGGTTGCAGTGGGTCCTGGAAGGAGCAGATGGATGATGGAGGAGGGGTCTGATTAGCACTGAGGTAGGAGGTCACGCTGCTGAGCCTTCTGGATGATGTGGATGCTCAGGTCTGTCTACCTAGTCTGTTGGCCTCTCACCTCCACCCAGCCTTCACGCTGTCCCTGGATAGAGCCACTCTTGTCCCCTTCCCAGTGTCTGCAGGGAAGGGTGGTGACCAGGCCAAAGCTGCTGGCTGGGTAAGCCAGTCGCCAGCTACCACCAGGGCTGGAACAAAGAGACTTCTGTATGCCTGCATTTGCCACCCTGCCCCCCATTAAAGGAGCTTCATGGGCAAGTGGGTGGCCTGGAATGGGTGCCCTTGAAACAGCTAGCAGGCCCCAGGATTTGAGAGCCATGTCCTCATGTGGTAGGAAGGGATGCTCTCTCGGAGATTATTCCAGACACCAGCCCAGAGAAGAAAAGGCTCACAAGGGATGCAAGGCCCAGGCTACTAGAACCTGCCACCAGGGAGCTTGTACTGGAGCCCAGTGCTCTGCACCCTTGCACTTGTTTGGCTAGCTTCTGTGTGGCTCCCATTTCCCAGACCTGGATGTGATGCTGAGTGTGAGCTGCTGGCCCCCTCTGGCAGGTCGGGTGTGATAGTGCCTATCACTGGACATGAAGGGAGGTTACACTGTTTTAGTAGATGGTTCTTTTGCTTTTGAGACAGGGTCATGTAGCCCAAGCTAGACCTTGAATTCCCACTCTCCCTGCTTTAACCCTCAGAGTTCTGGGATTATTCAGTAACTGTTTCTACCGTATTTGGATCAAGCGAAGGAGAACCCAGGGCTCCGGGCTTGAGATAAATATGCTGCCAGCTCAGCTACAACCCAGCAGTCTCTTTTTAGGCCAGTTTAGAATCACAGGAGTGGCGGGAGGAGCAGCCTTTTAAGTGCTGCATTTGTGACACTTAGTGCCCCGTGGGACTGCTTTGTGCCCCTGCTCTACCTGTGATCACATGCTTTTAGTTTCTTAGCCAGTGTCTCTTTCCTATCCTAGGGTTCCATCTAAGGCTACCACAATCTGGTTACCACTGGGCTGTGGTAGTTTCTCAGCCATAAACCAGCCTGGCTTTGAATTCACTATAAAGCCCAGGCTGGATTTGAATGCTGGGGTGCCAGAGGTGCATCGCTACACCTGGCCTCTTTTCTTTGCTTTTGAGCAATTCTGGGGGTGGAACTTCAGGCCTTCACAAGTGGTCTGCCTTCCTCTGACTCCATACCAGCCATCTTGGCTGATTCGGAATGACCTAGGGTCTCATGGGTCATTTTACCATCAGCGAACAGATCAGTGTAGCTTGCCACTGTGAGGTCACTTTGCCCTGCTCCAGGGAACACCTAGGTTATGTCCCATATCTTCCCCCCTCAAGTGCAAGTGAGGCTGCCCTTTACAGCACTGGTTATATGAGAGACATTCCCGAAGGCCACCCTGCCCTGACTTTCTAATACTGATCTACTGTGTTCTGATGGCAGAGGATTAACTGCCGAGGACATTTAAGGGGAAAGAACTTAACCACAGGAACCAGGGACCTGGCCTTGGCCCACAGGGATTAGTGGAGGTGAAACATGGAAGTCTGTGGTGTGCTCTGGTTTAAAATCAAAAGTGTCAACCACCAAAAAGAAAAACAAAGAGGGGGAAATCATTTTTGACATGTCGTACTTTTAATGCCAGTACTTGGGAGGCAGAGGCAGGAGGATCTCTGAGTTTGAGGCCAGCTTGGTCTACATAGCAAGTTCCAATTTAGCCAAGAGGTGAGACCCTGTCTCAAAAACAAAGAAAGAAGGGCTGGAGAAATGGCTCAGAGATTAAGAGTGCTGTATGCTCTTCCAAGGGTCCTCAGTTCGATTCCCAGCAACCACATGATGATGGCTCATAACCATCTATAATGAGATCTGGTGCCCTCTTCTGGCCGGCAGGTGCACATTCAAGCAGAACACTGTATGCATAATAAATAAATAAAAACTTTAAAAAACAAATTGGGGGGCGCGTTTTCATGACAGGGTTTCTCTGTGACTTTGGAGGCTGTCCTGGAACTAGCTTTTGTAGACCAGGCTGGTCTCAAACTCACAGAGATCCGCCTGCCTCTGCCTCCTTAGTGCTGGGTTTAAAGCCGTGTGCCACCACCACCCAGCTTAAAAAATATTTGAAAAAAAAGTGTCAGTCCAGAGGTTGGATAGATGACTCAGTGGATAAAGTACTTGCTGTACAAGTGTGAAGATCAGAGTTCAAATCCCAGCACCTGTATAAAAAAAAATCCAAGTGAGTATACCAGCCTGCCTGTAATCCCAACCCTTATCTTCAGGGCAAGCTGGCTTGCTAGACTAGCCAGAGCTGCCAGCTTTGTGTTCAACTAGAGGTCCAGCTGCAGTAAGTAAAGAGCCATATAGGACTCTGCACGTCAGTGCCTGTCTGAGTGTGGTTGCACGCCTGTCATCCTAGGAAGGTCAGCCAGGGTGACATGAGTGTCTGCCTCAAAGACACAATGCCTCTGCCATCTTCAGCTAAAGGAGTGAGGGAATCTGGGACCGTACAGGCTTTTCCATGAATGAGCAATGCAGCTAGAGTTCGGTGATAGTCCAATGGAGGGCTCTGCGTTCCACCCAGATGAGAGAACTGTACTCAGCAGCAAAGAGGGAAATGCCCAGCGCACATGACACATGAATGACTCCAGATGAGCTACCCCAGTGAAGCAAGTGGAACCCAAAATACTTGCAAACAAAGTATTGCCGGAATATCGTACACCCACCACTCACCCATGTATGCTGACTTATTGCCTGTGGCTGCCCTGTGATGTCGACAGGGTTGAGCCAAAGCAGCAGAGACTGTGGTCATAGAACCTGACAGACAGCCTTGGTGTCTAGCTCTGTACAGAAAGTTTGCCGGCCCCTTAGACTCCACGTGGAGCAGAGTCCATGTGGTAACCTTGTATGGTCAGAGCTGCAGCCTCGTGTGAGGAGGCCTTGAGCCCCACAGGCCTTCCCTGCAGTGTGTGCAGGTTGGTGCAGTTATAACCAGATGTGAGTGAGCCACAGCTCACTCACTGTGAGCTTTATTTGTTGGGTTGCATCCACACCCTGACTCAACATTCAGGACAAGAAGCCTGCACTCTGGCTCCCCACCATGCCACTCCCACAAGCTTCCAGTGTTCTCCATAGCTGTTTGTCATGAAGGCAGTGTTCAAATCTTTCATCCTAATGACACTGGGACAGGCCTCTGGAGAGACGTCACAGTTGTTCTCACAGAGTAAGAGTGCTGAACCCAAAGGGGGCAAGAGGCGCTGCCAACTGGTTAGAGGTGGGACCCCCAACCATCCCTTGCTCAGATGCAGTGGGTCTCCACCATCTGTGGTGGTTTGAAGAAAAATGGTCCCCATAGGTCCATAGGGAGTGGCACTATTAGGAGGTGTGGCTTTGTTGGAGGAGGTGTGTCACCAGGGGGCTGGTTTTGATGTCCTAAGTGTGTGGCAATCTCCTCGTCTTGCCTGTGGATCTAGCTGTAGAATGCTCAGCCACCTCTCCAGCACCAAATACGCCAGCATGCCACCATGTTTCCTGCCGTGGCTGTGGTGTCTTTTCACTGCAATAGAAAACCTTCGCTACAGGGCCTCGGGTACCAACTGTGATAGGCCAGACCATGTTTTTGTTTGAAGGAATGTGGGCTTTGAAACTTTAGATTAGGAGAACAGCAGAATGCTTAATAGAAGACAGTGGTGCTGAGGGTGATTTGAACTATGAGGACCTGGCTCAAGAGGTTTTAGAGGAGAACAATATTAGTGTGTGGCCTAGAGACCATTCTTGTGATATTTCAGTGAAGAATATGGCTCAAGTGGCTACTTTTTGCCAGTATTGTCTTCCTGAGGCTAAAGTGAAGGCTTTTGGATTAATTGCTTGGCAGAGGAAATCTCAAAACAGCGCAGCATGGATTCTGTAGTGTGGTTATTAGTGGTAACTCTAATGAATACTTATAATGAAAAGGAACAAGCTGAGCAAGGCAAAATACAAAATGTGCGGTTCAAGGAGAAAGGGGCACCAAGATGTGGAATGGAGCTATGTTCAGAAAGATAAACATTAGAGAAAAGCCCGATGTTAGCCGCAATAAAGGGAACGGTGACCCAGGCCAAGACTCACCCAACTAAGCTTCCACTTCTGAAAAGGAATTAAAGAAGAGCTCAGGTCTGGGTGTGGTGGTGCACGCCTTTTATCTCAGTACTCTGGAGGCAGAGGGCAGGCGGATCTCTGTGAGTTCGAGGCCAGCCTGGTCTACAAGAGTGAGTTCCAGGACAGGCTCCAAAACAATACAGAGAAACCCTGTCTCAAAACAAACAAACAAAACAAAAACAAAAACAAAAATTTGCAGAGGGCAGGTGTGCGTGGAGGAGCATGGTGAGAGGCGACGGAAGTGTGCAGAGCTGAGGTCCCTGAGTTAGTTAGTGTGGGTGGAGCGGGGCCCAAGCCACAGCTGCTGCTGCACCGCAGCCTAGGGAGGGAGAATGTTCCAGGCAGAGAGCAACAGTTAGGGCAAAGGCTTGGATGACAAGAAGCTGCAGGAAGTGCGGGGAGAATGGTGGGGGACACTGCTGGTCACTCAGCCTCAGTTTCCCCATGTGTGCATGGGTCCTGCTGTGCCGCGTTTGGATCTCCAGGCAGGGTTAAGAGCTGTACCACTTGCTGTGTGTTTACCTGGGCCCATTACTTCTCCTCCAGCCTGCTGTTCACTTCTGTCCAGTGAGCTAACTGCTACCAAGGGAGGGAAAGAATTCACTGAGACCTGCAGACAAAGGGATAAGCCCGGCCCACACAAAGGGCCGTGCCCTGCTGCTGCAGTGCTTGACAAACAGTCACCACTGCCTTCTCTATCATCTTCCCGACCCCCATCTTACAAGAGGAAGCTGGGACACAGAGATGTTAAGCAACTTGTACAATGTCACAGCTCATGAGTGATGGGGGTGGAGGAAGGTCCAGCTCTAACCCTGTGGTGACTGCCGTGATGGGGGTGGAGGAAGGTCCAGCTCTAACCCTGTGGTGACTGCCGTGATGGGGGTGGAGGAAGGTCCAGCTCTAACCCTGTGGTGACTGCCGTGATGGGGGTGGAGGAAGGTCCAGCTCTAACCCTGTGGTGACTGTCGTGATGGGGGTGGAGGAAGGTCCAGCTCTAACCCTGTGGTGACTGCCGCTGGCCTGGCAGGGGTACTCCAGGCTGACTCGGAACAGACAAAGGAAAACCCCCAAAGGATCGAATCCATTATTGATAAAAGCTAGGTGGGGTGGACTCTTGTTTGCCGATGAAGTGTTACTTTTGTTTGTTGTAGCCCAGGCTAACCTAAAACTCTGGATCCTCCTGCCTCAGCCTCCCAAGTGCTGGGATTCTAGGCATCTCAGCTGATGCCCTTCCTGACACCAAGGCCAGAAAGGCATTTATGCAGCCTCACCACAGCTGTGTGGACTGCTGTGGGTGGAGATGAGGGCCCACCGCTCTCCTACAGAAATGCAGGTTCTCTGAGCATGCCCAGTGTGTTCTCTCTGGGCTCTGTGCAGACCAGGGCCAGGAGTGCTTTGCCAAGCCTTTGTCCACTGGGACGGGACGGATGCTTCCTTCCTGTATGAATGAATGAAGAGTAAAGAAAAAAAAAAAAAGGAAGAAGAAAGAGAGAGAGAGAGAGAAAGAGAGAGAGAGAGAGAGAGAGAGAGAGAGAGAGAGAAAGCAAGGGAGTGGAGGAATGTCCCTGCCCTGGCTCACACTCTTTGTTACCCACAGTTGCAGGGGCTCTCGTTGCTGACTTCCTGTCTGGCCTGGTACATTGGGGTGCCGATACATGGGGCTCTGTGGATCTGCCCATTGTGGGGAAGGTGCGTATGCCAGGCCGTGTGACTATGAGTTAGTCCCCTTTCCTCTCAGAGCCTTAGGTACCTGATCCAGTGCTCCCTGCCCTCTTAGACTGGTCTGAGGATCCCTGTGGTTGGTGGCAGCACAGATGTTAGATGGGTGAGTCAGGGTGTCTGCCCTGAACCAGGGCCTGGCTTATTCTCCTGTGTTCAAATTTTAAGCTGTTAATTAGGCTATCTGTGCTATGACGGAAAATTGAATCCTAGCTGGTTTCATCAGATAAGGCTTCTGACGCGTGGCGGTGCCAAATTAAAGTCCCGCAGAGCCAGAGCGACCACCTTTTCCGATTGGTTTCTGTCTCTGGCTTCTGCTTTCTCCTGCTGAACCCATGCCTCCGCTCCCGGCTGCCTAGAGAATTCTTTCCCCCAGTGGCAGCCAAATTCCCAGAGCCCGACACTATTGGTCCAGCTGGCATCACACTGCCCACCCTGCAGCCAATCACTGCCAGGGATATGGATGCACTCTGGTTAGCCATTCCTGGGTCTGTGCTCACTCAAGGCAAACTCCACTTAGCAGCATTAACCGAGAGACAGAAGGCTGCTTCCAGAAGCAGCGCCAGGTAGACAGGGTGCCCTCTGTTTATGCGGGGCCTCTTCACCTGCTTCAGGGTGCATGTTGACTCCAAGGCCTTCACAGTATCGGTGGGAGACTGAGGCCCAGAGGGATTGGGGAAGGGCCCCACCAGTGTTTGAAGCCATCTTGCACTACAGCCTGCCAGACCTCAGCCCAGGCAGGGTCTGTGTCAGTGACAAGCTACAGGAGCAGAGCCCATCAGTGTGTTTGGGGTCTTCAGGGTACCAGCTGCCTTTGACTGACTAGGAGACTACACCTATACCCTGTCCACCCCAGGCCTTCATCAGGCCATTCCGGGAGCACCACATCGACCCTACAGCCATCACGAGGCATGACTTCATTGAGACCAATGGTGACAACTGTCTGGTGACACTTCTGCCGCTGCTGAATATGGCCTACAAGTTCCGAACCCAGAGTCCAGGTGAGAACTGCAGCTGGGTTCCTTAAAGGGAGCATTGCGGACAGAGGGTCCTGGGAGCCTCCAGGGTATGTGTGACAGGTCACTTGTGTCATTTAAAGTACTCTCCCTTAGTAGGGTGCATGTAAAAGTTGGGTATTTAGCATAAGACTTCAATCCCTACTTCTCAGGGCCCTCTCTGGTAATGAAGCCCCCAGGGCCCTCTTCCTACCTCCTCCATGGAACTGCTCATTTGACACACTCCCTGTGAGTCACCGCTAGCCCACCCCTTGTTCTGTGGTATTATTATTTAAAGGAAAGTATGCACTGTGAGAACTGGGGTGGGACCTAGTAGCTGAGAGCTAGCCTGCCACACCCAGACCTGGGTTCAATCCTGCCCTGAAGTAAAAAGACAAAGTATAGACTAAGAGCTGAGGCCAAGAGGTGGCCGTTTCTGAAGGAATCCCTTCGCTGGGCATCAGGAGAGGTAAGTCCACATCTGTCTGACAGCTGGCGGCACCTCCCTCTGAGAGGAACAGAGGGCTGCTGTGCTGCTGGGCCCCACCCCTGCTGACAGTCTCCCAGCAAGCAGCCCCTGACCCAGAGACACACGTGTCCTCAGGTCCTACCTACTTCAGGGAGCCTGACCCAGAGCCCTGCCCCATGCTCACACAACCCACAAGTGTCAGCAGAAATCAGAATTCAGCCCCAATTGGCGGCAGAGCCCACACTCTTAGCCCATTCCTGGGCTGCTTCCAAATCTGAAGACTTCACAGTGAAAGGATGAGGGGGAGCCTGGGTGCCACCCGATTTAGGAGCTGGCTGGCTGGTGAGGCAGCTACATAGGTCCCATGCCCCTCCCCTTCTCCTGCAGAGACCCTGGAGCAGCTGTACCCCTGGGAATGCTTCGTCTTCTGCCTGACTATCTTTGGCACCTTCACCAACCAGATCCACAAGTGGTCACACACATATTTGGGGCTGCCCTACTGGGTCACTGTCCTGCAGGACTGGCACGTGATCCTACCACGGAAACACCATCGAATCCACCACGTGGCGCCCCACGAGACATACTTCTGTATCACCACAGGTGCGCGGTGTCATCCCCAGAGTTGGGGGGGCACGTTGCCTTGGCCTATGCATTATTCTCAGAGTGCACATATATTAAGCACCTACTGTGTCCCAGGCACTTCTAGGTGCAAGGACAGGGCCATGAACACACCAAAGCCTCTTCCCCACTTCAAGCTGCTGTGACTCCAGACACTTGCCCAACCAGCAGACAATTTACCTGGGGACTGTTTACTGCCCTGGGCTAGGATCTAGCAGCGGTGAACAAAGCAGAGTGCCTTTGTGATTGGCAGGTGGAATGGCACACTCCTTTAGTCCCAGCACAGAGGAGGTGAATCTGAGTTTGAGACTATCCTGGTCTACATAGTGAGTTCCAGGACATCCAGGGCTACACAGAGAAACCCTGTCTTGGGGGGTGGGGGAGAGATAGAGAATAATTTAAAAAAACAAAACAAAACAGTGGAAGGTCCCTGTACCCTGTACCCACCCTCTTCAGCTTGTCTCCTGAAGACCTCACCCCAGGCAGGCTCCCTCTCTCCTCACTTAACCCCCTGGCTGTGTCTTCTGCAGGCTGGCTCAACTACCCCCTAGAGGTGATAGGCTTCTGGCGTCGCTTGGAGGACCTCATCCAGGGCCTGACGGGTGAGAAGCCTCGGGCAGATGACATGAAGTGGGCCCAGAAGATCAAGTAGCGTTTGCAGCTGCCTGGTCGCCAACTTTCCCCAGCCTGAACTGAAGCCATCTGCCAAATTCTGGCCTCTTTGAGCTGCCCTTCCAGTGAAGAGTCCCCTGGGCTGGGCCCGGGTACCCCAGCCCCAGCCCACCCCCAGTGACACAGAATACTTGAGCCACCAAGTTTTCATTTCTTCTTTTCTTTCCTTGGGCCTTCCTGGCCATTGAGCTGCTCCAAGGCCAAGCCTGACTGCAGAAGGGGAAATCCCCCCCTCCTGCTGGCCAGCCCCCACCCTGCACGCCTGACCCCTGCCATGGCCCTCACTGGTATGGGGGTCGCTGACTCACTTGGTCTGTCCCCGGTGATCCAGAGAGCCCCCAGGACATTTAAATGTCCCTGCATCATGGTCCTCCCTCAGCCCTGCACACCTAACCCAGAGGCCTAGGTCATGTCCAGCCACATCTGAGGTCTTAGTATGAAGACACCTTCACAGGGCACAGCTCTTGTGAAGGGCTTGATCATTTGGGGAGGACACTGTCCCTTCTGGCAGTGTGTCAGAGGAGGAAGGAAGATTAGGGCTTTTTTATTTTATTTTATTTTTTTTAAAGGTGCTTGCTTGTCAATGTAAATAATAGAAAGCCTTAATACCTTTCTGTAACATGGAGTAATATTTTAATGTCATGTTTTGGATGTATATAATATATTTATAACAAAGGAAGAATCTCCTTAACCCTGGCTGCCTCGTGATGTTTCCAGATGGCTGCAGAGAGGCGCTTAGCTCTGGCCTCAGGGAGGGGCCTTTATCCCTGACACAGTAACATTTTGTTGTGTTTAGATTTATATGTTTTATGTGTTTTGTCTGCCTGTGTGTATGTGTACCACATGTGTGCCTGGTGCCCACAGAGATCACAAGAGGGCATTGGATTCCTGGAACTGACTGGAGTTGCTGATGCTTGGGAAACACTTGTGGGTGCTGGGAGCTGAACCAGGTCTCTTCGAGCTCTTAGCCACAATTTTTTTGTTTTTTGAGGTAATGTGGCATATACTCAAGGTGACCTCACACTTCTTATGCAACCAAGGTGGCCTTGAATTCCTGATCCCCCCTACCCTCACCTCACAAGTGCTGGGGTTACAGGCGTGTGCCACCATTCACAAGGCAGTGATCTTTTACCAAGGTCCTGCTCGAGCAGTGCTGGCTAGCCCATCCCAGAACTCCTTTAGGGGTCATTACCACCTCAGTATGTCTTAACTCACTTGGATGAAGACCAACAAGGACTGACCTCCTGGAAAAAGACAATAAATGCAAAGGAACACAGTGCAGCTTCTTTTTTTATTATTTGTTTATTTATTTGATTTTGGTTTTTAAGGCAAGGTTTCTCTGTGTAACAGCTTTGGCTGTCCTGGAACTCTTTGTAGACCAAACTGACCTCAAATTCACAGATCCTCCTGCCTTTGCCTCCCAAGTGCTGGGATTAAAGGCGTGCGATGGGCCACCACCACCTAGCTTTATTATTTTAGGTTTTTGTTTTTGTTTTTGATTTTTTGGAGGAGGGGGTTTCAAGACAGGGTAGCTTTGGAGCCTATCCTGGCACTCGCTCTGTAGACCAGGCTGGCCTCGAACTCACATCGATCCTCCTGCCTCTGCCTTCCGAGTACTGGGATTAAAGATTTGCGCCACCAATGCCCGGCTAATTTAGAGGCAGGGTCTTACTATGCAGACCTGGCTGGTCTGGACCTTGCTATGTAGACCATGCTGGCACTCACAGAGATCTGCCCATCTCTGCCTCCTAAGTGCTGGGATCAAAGGCGTGCACTGACATTCCCTGCTCACAGTCTGAAAAGCAGCTAGCTGAAGCTGCCTTGGAGAAGCAGAGTGGAGGCTGCTGGGGAGCTCTGAAGGAGGCCAGGTGAGCAGAGAGCTGGAGGAGGTACAGAGGTGGCCTGGGTGAACAGAAAAGGACGCTGAGACAGCTGCAAAGGCCTTGAGGCAGGGATGAGCTTGAGATTAGGTGCTGAGATGGCCTCTGGACAAGGGGGAGGTGCAAGCTAAAGCTGTCACACAGCCTCGTGCTATCCAGTGGACATTTAAACAGTTTATCTTTTAAACAAGCACTTCCAAGGTACCGGAATTCAGTAGTGAATGTACATTATGATGTGTTGTAGTCAGTCTTTCTTTGGACAGTTCCCAAATAATGACACGGAAACTTACAAATGCGTGGCTGTTCCCAACTAGCTCTTTTTTTTTTTTTTTTTTTTTTTTTTTTGGTTTTTTTTCGAGACAGGGTTTCTCTGTGGCTTTGGAGGCTGTCCTGGAACTAGCTCTTGTAGACCAGGCTGGGCTCGAACTCACAGAGCTCCACCTGCCTCTGACTCCTGAGTGCTGGGATTAAAGGCGTGCGCCACCAACGCCCAGCTCCAAGTAGCTCTTATAATTTAAATTAACCCGTTTATATTCATTACTTTCTGCCTCATAGCTCAATACGTCTCCTCCATCCTATACATCTGACCTCTTCCTCCCACTGGCTTAATCCTGCATGCCTCAGATTCTTCCCAGAGTCCTCTCCCCACCGAAGTCCCACCTATCCTCTCCTACGTAACTATTGGCCATTCAGCTCTTTATTAAAACCAATCAAAAGGCGCCTTGGGCAGAGACCTGTCTTCACAAAGTACAAAAAGATTATCCCACAACAGTGTGTATGTAATCATGCTGCTCTGTGCCGCCAGGCATGGTAGTCCAAGCCCGGTAATTCCAGAATTTGGGAAGTGGAGGCAGGAAGATTCAAGATCATCTTTGGCTACATAGCAAGTTTGAGGCCAGCCTGGTCTATATAAGAACCTGTCTTTTAAAACACACTCCTAGGGAGCTGGGATGTGGTGGAACATGCCTTTAATCCCAGCACTCGGAAGTTTGAAGCCAGTCTGGTCTACAGAGTGAGTTCTAGGACGACCAGGGCTGTTACAGAGAAACCCTGTCTTGAAAAACAAAAAACAAAACAAAACAAAAAAAAACACCCTTAGGGTAATTTCTACAATATTAACAAAGGAAGATAAAAAAGCCTGTTGAGGTTACAAAGTCACAGTATTCTGAAAAACAAAAGTATGTATGTGCCTGTGTGAGTGAGTGTACACATGTGTGAAGGTGACCTGTGGACCAGAAGAAGGGCGCTAAGTGCCCTCCTTTGCGGCAGGGTATTCATGAATCAGGCTCAGTGTCCCTGGCTGGGCTGTATCCCAACAGGCCTCAACAATCCTCGTGTGTCTTCCTTCCCCACCTCACACCTGTGTTTAAGCATGCAGGAGATACACAGCTTGTTAAAAGGTGCCATGTGTCACTTCTGCCTAATGACTGACTGCTTAGTGAGTGGTTTTTAACTGCTGGACCATCTCGGCAGCCCCAGCATTTATTTGTCAGATGTGACCCTCCTCTCCATGTCCCCGAAGTTTGCCCACCATTGGCTGCTCCATCCACAGGGAGAGGTTGATTTCTTAGTGCATGAGTGAACGCAAATGAGGCCAAGCCTGGTGGCGTGACATGAGCCTGACTAGTTATTCTAGAGGCCAAGGCAGAGGGTTTCAAGTTTTGGAATAAAGAGTTCAAGACTAGCCTGGCAATTTTATCAAGTGTCTCACAAATAAAAATCTGCTGAGATAGGCTCCGTTGAAATAGCATGTGCCTAGGTGGGGGTGGAGTAAAATGTAGGTTTAAGTGGCTTGTGCTGCCATCTGGTGGCAGAGCCGGGTTGGTGACTGCAGGGCAGGTGACCGGAAGGTAGACTTCTGCGCCCACCTCTCTGGAGGGCATCTAGGAATGGATTTCTTCCCTCCTGTAACTCCCACCACCTCAGATGGAACCCAGACTTCCCAGGCCTCCCGCAGGATGCTGAAGGGTAGGAAGGGTCAGCTGACCGCAGCCAAGGGCCCCATGCAGCCCACCGGGTTTTCCGAGGCTCAAGAGCACTCTTTAAATGACAGCAGGCGAGGAGGGGATATATCCTGTGATATATCTCACAGCAGAGTGATCACGTCACTGGCCATTGTAAAGTGCAGCTGGTGTCCATTCATGCCGTTCATTCCCACTCCTTCCCAGCTTCAAGTGGGTGTAGGCAGCAGAGACCAGACAGAAATGCTTTGAACCCTCGTGTAGCCTGAGATCTGGGTTCACAGGTGAGCGAATCTCTACCTTCCCTTTTCTCACAGAACATGTTTTAGAGAATACTACGTTTGCTGATCAGAAAGGTTTCTTGCTTCTGTTTAGAGCTGTGTAATATTCCACTTTTAGAAAAGATCAATCTTGCAGGCTTGGGAGATGGCTAACAGTTAAAAGCACTGTCTGCACTTCCTGAGGACCTGGCTTTTGATCCCAAGCACCACACGATGACTTCATAGTCATCTGTAACTCCAGTCCCAGGGAAACACCCTCTTCTGCCCTCTGTCAGCACTGATCCTGTGTCCTCTTCTGGCCTCCACAGGCACTGTTTGCACCTGGTGTACAAGCATACATGCAGGCAAACACCCACGCATAAAAAATAAAAATAGTGTGTGGGGGGTGTGGTTGGAAAATGGACCACTCTTGTTTTTGACACAGTGTCCAGGCTGGTCTCAAATTCATAGCAATCCTTACTCATCTGCCTCCCAAGTGCTGGCATTACACCAAATGTGTCATCACAAAAGGCAGGCCATCTTTGTAGTTCTATGTGTATGTGAGGAGAGTACTCCTGTGTGTGTGTGTGTGTGTGTGTGTGTGTGTGTGTGGTGACACACAGAGGTCAATATTAGATGTCATCTTCCTATCTGAATTTTGTTTTTCAAGTCAGGGTTCCTCTATGTAGGCTTGACTGTCCTGGCACTCGCTCTGTAAACCAGGCTAGCATGGAACTCACAGAGATCCCCCTGCCTCTGCCTGCCGAGTGCTGGGATTAAAGGCGTGCGCCACCACCGCCCGCCATCGCATTACTTTTTGAGACAAAATCTCTCACTGGACATGGAGGACTGACTGGCCAGCAAGCCCCAGGGATGCTCCTCTCTCTGTCCCCCAACTCTGGAATCACAGGCATGGTGGCTTTGTTTATGGGTGCTGGGGCTCATCCTCATCCAGGTCCTTGTATTTGCACAGCAAGCACTTTCTGGACCAAACCATCTCCCCAGATCCCTTCCT